CAAGAAGTGAGTTGGAAGGTTGGAGAATGGAGACGAGGAGAACAGCGGGAGCTAGAGAACAGCACAACTAGAGAACACAGGCTGAAGTTGGACAAGAGTGGGTGGGAAGTAAAGAGTGACAGCAGGGAAGTGGAGAGAAGAGGTAGATGCAGGGAAAGGCACAAGAAATATACCTACAAACTCTCTGTATCAGTAAATTACAAGAGAGCACACTATATGTGAATATAGTCTGAGCTAAAGGGCATTGTTAGGCATGAAATACAGTGGAGCATCTGCAACTTCTTCAGTCACAATGTAGCACAACTCTAGTGCCTTATTGCATAACTGAAATGATTAGAACAGAAACAATTAAGGGCAGACATTTTTATTAGAAAATTCATTTTGTGCCATCTTTCAACAAAAATATATACAGTAGTTCCTGACATGTAGACTAAGGTCAATAGTTGGCCACTAACACCTTGTCTACACTGGGTGCAGCCCTTATTGCATTGCAAAAGTTTGAGACTATCTATACTGAATGTCAAAACAAAAATTTCAAATCTGAACTGTTGTCAGAAGTAGCACAAGAGTATGTCAAAAATGGACATGTTGACATGGTGTAAGGGTGCTCTGCAGTCATACTGTACACAGTAGCTATTAGGCAAGTGTTTGACATTAAAAATATTTGACCAGTTGAGGTCCAGAACTGTCAAATGTTATTTCCAGTTCATTTTGTAACTGATCTAGACATTTTTCACGAAGAGTCACACCTTATACATCAAGCATAAGGGCCCTTCATGTGTGTAAAGGGTGATTTGTTGTTAGACAAGCCCAGGTGAGTGGGAATTCTAGAGTCATCTCTGGATACGCCATATTGCATCAAGGAAGATTCGTTTGAGGCTTTCGTACAAAACCAGCAGTGCAGTGTGTGTTTGAGCATTTCAATTTTCATTTGAGTTTCAGTGAAATAAAATATAAAAAATAGAGTCGACAATAGAGCCATTTTTCGCTTCATCTCTCCTTCTCCGTTCCATCACCAAGTGTCTTCCTTCACTTGGTGACATTGTTTTTATCTTTGATCCCTCGCTCTCTTAGCTCTAATCTTGATTTTTGTCAGCTCTCCTTCGTTAACCGTATTCTGCATCGAAATGACGTTGAGTCCCACCCGCAGCCAATCAGAGCCCCAGCTGGCCTGTCTCTCCATGTGCCAGGCTCTCCGTGTGTGCCCTGGTAGCCCGTTTGTGGCTTAACAAACAACTGAGCGTTAGCATCCCCTACGTTTACACCCTCCTTGCCAGCCTTCCCATCATCCCTCCCTCTTTCTTTCTCTCCGTTTTTTGCACATGCCACCGCCGCGCCCCCTAACCCACGTCACGTGAGTGCAGGGGCCCTAGCAACAGCGAGAGAGAGAGGGAAAAGTGGAGCGAGAGAGGGAAAGAGGGAGGGGGAAGAGACGCAGAGCATTAATAAGTAATGGGCCGAACAGTTTGAAACCCGGTCCTCATTAGCATTGCAGCGGCGCCATCATTTGCATGGGAGCTCCTAGAGCAAATTCAACATTAGCTTCAGCCCACACCCCTCTCTTTTTGTCTTCATGTGTCTATCGTTCTGTCATCACACAATCTCCTTCCAACTGTCTCTTTCTCTCTTTTTTTTATTTGTGATATTTCGGTATTTCACTTCTTTCATCTCGTGAGCGTCTTCTTCCTCTTTTCCCTTCTGTTGTCGTTCTGTCGTTCTCCGCCCCCTTCCTCAGAGTCTCCTGGCATTCGTGCGTTACGATTTCCTTTTTGTTGTTGTTCTATTTTCCACACTATTGTGTATTGCGCATTACTATTCATATCCTCTGTTATTCTATTTCTTTTTACCTTGAAAATGATGGCAGGAAAATGGCGGCTTTACTTCCGGTAGGGTTTTATTTTTAGACTAGATCTTTCCCAGCTGCACTCACACAGTCCTGTGCTGAGAAAGCGAGAGAGTTTGCCAGCCCTCCTGACATCCCGTAACAAAACACACATTCTCAAACATGTATACAAACCTCTTTTCCCTTTATGCATTTGAGTGTGTTTCTCTGGCCTTTGGGAGTCTGTGTAGAGTAAGATGTAACTGGAAGGTTGCCATGCTCCACACATAAATCCAATTCCACATTTTTTTTTCTTCCATCGGTCTGACATGATGCCCCAGGCTGCCCACGCTACACACTCCAGCCCTACCACAGAACCTTGTATGTGTGTGGTACACTCAAGCCCTTGTTTTAGACAGACCTTACATGCCCCTGCCCCCTCTAATCCTTCATGCACACACACACACACACACACATACACACACCTCAAGGCGAAGGAAGACTAGACAAGAATTGATCTGCACTCCCAAACAGAACTAATCGCAAGGAGACGTGGGACTAATATGTGCATAGCTCTGTCTGCCTCTCCTTTAATCCATCAGTCATCATTTTTAAATCTGTACACCCAATGGGTCACTTATTCAGTGAAGTCAAATGTCTTATGTACAGTCACACACAGACAGGCATGTGCTCTGTTCTGATAAGCAAAAGCCAAATAGCCAAATAAAGGACTTTTAAGATGCAGAAGTTGGAACCATGGCTTAGCAGTGCATTTAGCTCATATGGACAGTGTGGGATGAATATAGCTTGCAACAGTTCCCTATGCTGTTCCTCCTCCTTATTTCAGTTTATAAGGTCAAATATAAAATAAAAAAGAAGCAGACAAATTGTGAAACAAACAAACAAATAAATAAATAAATAATGGATAGAGAGAGGAATATGAGTGGAAGAAATGGGAGTGTGGGAATATGAAGTGATTTCATGCTCAAACCTGATGACACAAAACCGAATTTCGAGTTGCTATTGTCTGAAAATCTGAGATTTGAGAGAGAGACAGACCTTGTGTCCCTGGTTACTGATATTTAATTTACCAGTCTTCACAATGAGAAAGATCCAAGTTACTGGGATTAAATCAAAACTACTCACTGACTACCTCTCTTTCTCTCGCTCTCTCTCCCTCCCTGGTCTCTCGCTCCGGGTGAAATGTTGTGACAGCGCTGCGCTGATGTTGTAGGGGGTTAAAGTCACCAAGTGCATATTATCCTGTAAGGCTTAATATGCAGGTTGAATCGCGAGGGCCGACTCTTAAATTACAGTTTGATGGGCCTAGCATTCAGCATGACAACAATACCCACACAGACACTGTGTTACGTCTATACACACACACTTGTGCTCGCGCTTAGCTGTCGTACGGATATTCATTCAGCAATATATGTTTGTGATGTAAATAATCATGCAACCATACACATGCAGCCAATGCCGCACGCATGTACTTCATTTCATTGTCTTATCACATGGCCATGACATTCACACAGATGCACGCTGAATTTATCTTTGTTTCCAGCCATTGTCTTTGTTTGTCTGTAGCTACTATCTGTGTGTGTGTGAGAGTAAGCTGCTTGTTATAGTGATGGAGTGTGTGTGTGGGCTGCCGAGTCAAGCCTGTCCTCTCCGCTTTCATAAATCTGCATTGGATGAAGCTCTCGAGCCATAAAACGCATCGATCACCATCCTTCACACACACACACACACACACACACACACACACACACATTCTTCCCACAGACTACTCCTGCTTTATATAGGAACGTTGTATCTTTTTGAGTGAGTTTTGAATGCACAAGTGTGTCCTAATATAGATGGATAAACAAGACACATGGCAACTAGTCAAATAATAACGCCTCAGCATAAATATATAAACACATCTTCACGTTTTTAATGAGTCACAGTGTGGATATGACTCCAGATGTTAACCTATAGCTGAAGGTTTGTTCTTAAAGTGTGTTTACATCTGTGTTTGCATCAGACTTGTGTGTTTTGTGAGTTTTTACATTTCCAGTTCATTTAGTTGTCTCATAATGGTGCGGTTGGCCCAATCCACATGCCCTGCCTGCCTAGAAAACTAGGACACACACACACACAAACACACACACACACACACAAACACACACACACACACACACACACATACACACACACACACACACAGAGACTGACTGACTGACTCTCACACACTGACATACTTTGCTATTGTTAATGTGTCCAGTGATGTGCAGTTTAGCAGAACACACACAAACTCTTCTTTCACACACACACACACACACACACACACACACACACACATACACACACACACACCTAATTCATCCCAGAGGAACATTTTATTGCTTTAATGTTGCTCTTTTATAGCTCATGAGACTTCTCAGTTGTTTCAATTAAGTATCAACCTCATCTTATATGTTTCTGATGTTTCTCAGGATACAAACCTGAGAAGACATTTTGCCCCCTAGGAGAAACAATGTAAAAAATTATCTCATCGTTCAAATTCAGATAGTGTATATACAAATTCTAAACATGAAAACAAACACACACACAATCAACACATTAAACATCTTTTTTATGAACTTTCACAGTCTTTTTGTGTCAGAAACATTCACAGCTAAAATGTACTTAATTGAATAAGATGGACTGAGAGTGAAAGAGAAACACTTACTTCTGGCTTCTGGGCGAGTGCTGCATTGTAAAATACGGCCTTCATGAATGTACAGATAAATCAGAGTCAGGCCTCACTGATGTGAAATGACTGTGACAGTAATATACTGTTACAATAACATACACATCAAATATTAAAACGCTCTCTCTTTCTTACTTTGTAATGGATTACTTGCTGTATCCTTCAAAAATGTTTTCATATCTGTACTCGTGTTCGTTTTTGAATGCCGTGACTATAAATATATTTCTGGATGATTTGTAACTCAGTGGACAATTGTTTTTTACAGTTATAACTTTTGTAAAAGTCTAATGATGGATTATGTGACTAACTGAATAGGATAACTGATCTATGGTTGAAGAGTTGCATATGAAGTTGGTCCTAAATGGACTTTTGAAAATCGTCTTTTTGTTGGCCAATGAAATCCATGTGCATATGTTTAGATCATCTCTTCTCCTCTCTCTTCAGGTAACAGGTTTTTCCTGACGTCATATGGGGCCCTCTACATATCTGACGTTCAGAAAGAGGACGCCCTCTCTACCTACCGCTGCATCACCAAGCACAAATACAGCGGAGAAACCAGGCAGAGCAATGGAGCTCGTCTGTCTGTGCTGGGTGAGTGTGTGGGTTTATGTCAGTTTTCTGGGCAGTTGACACTTCTTTGTCATATTTGTCAATCCTAATGCATTAAGCATATTTTCATAATTAGATTTGTTACTTTCTTGGATGCGCTTCTTTGAGAAATAACATTAAGATCCTAATTCATGTCATTCATATTTAAAGGGATTATGTCCTACATTTTAATTGTATATATATTTTCCCTAAAGTCTACTGATGTTAGTCAAAGGTTCTTGTAGAAAAAAATAGCTATAATTTTGTTTAACATGAGCATTTTCTTCCTCTTCTCTGACCATTAATCAGGCAGTTTTGCTAGTGTAACTTTAAGACGTATGTATGTTAATGACTATACATAAATTGGCTACAATTGCTTGGTCTTTCTATAAGAACTTTCTCTCTGTCCGTAGACCCCACTGAAACCCCGCCTTCTGTGATGGACAGTTTCCAGTCAGGAGAATTACAAGTGGGGCGAAGCATAGAGTTGCCCTGTATCGCCTCCGGTTACCCCAACCCCACCATCCGCTGGTTGAAAGATGGGAGGCCACTTCCTGCAGACTCCCGCTGGACACGGCGACTGACCGGCCTCACAATCAGCGACCTCCGTCTGGAAGACTCTGGAAACTACATCTGTGAAGTCACCAACAGCTTTGGCTCCAAAGAGGTCACAGGACACCTTAATGTCATCGGTGAGGAGAAAAGAAAAAAGAAATAAAGGGTAAACGGTAAAGAGGGGAGTTTACAAGAAGAGGGACTGGTGGTAAGACATAAGTAAATTATGAAAGATGTCACCATTACACTGTTGGTAAGGGAAAAAGACAAGCTTTTCAAAAGTTACAAGCTACCTTCACCTTTTAACTTGTCATAGATCCAAGCACGGTATGCTCTTTTAACTTAAAATTTAAGGTAAGAATTATGTTCGGTATTTGGAATGTTCTTCCAGGACCAACAAAATGTCCAGGAACATGTCCTACTTGACAGAATCTTCTCAACCTTTTAAGTAGGACATATTCCTGGATCAACATCATTCCTATTAAACAATCGTACAGGTATAGGGATAGAGCTGTGGTTGGTGTGGACTTCAGCCTCACAGTAAAAGTAGGATTATGACTATGTTTGACTGTTATGTTCTTCCAGAACTAACAAAAGACCCAGGAACATGTCCAATTTCAAAGTAATGGCCACATAATCTATTCCCCAAAGCAGAAACCAAAACCTTGAGGCAAGTGTCCTCATCTTTACTCCTGGAGATCAAGCTTCCTGTAGACAGTTTAGTTTTGGCCTTACTTCCAATGAACCTACTTGCAATTTTCAACTTAACCCAAGGAATTTGATTAGCTGTCTCAGGTGTGTTGGAGTTGGAACTAACATCTGCAGGAAGTTTGTCCTCCCCAAACAGGTCACTTAAATTTATTGAGTGCCTGGTTGGTCTATCTCTTACAAAGTCCTGGAATACCCATACCCTTTCATCCAAAGGAGAGGGTCCAGATCAAGATGGTCCATCACCAGGCCACTGGACTAATCTATTGCCCCATATCTCCTGTGCAACTGAGTCATAGGGAGAGAGAGAAATATCAAATGGAGTATACCAGGGAGTGAGTAAGTGAGAAGCAAATTTGGGTTTAAGAGATGTTGGCACACTGGTAGGCCTCTGCCACCTTCTTGCTGACTTATAGTGAAAGTAATATGAGAGGACAGGAAGATTAGTCTGGCCTCTCCAGTCTGACCCCTGTTCTACCAGAAGTGTGTGTATGAGTGTGTTTTTGAGCATGCATGGGGAGGGATCTTAGACCAGTGGGATGGTATTGGCTGGAGCCTTAATGTGAAAAGAAGAGGGGGATAGAGGAAGGGGAGGTGGGGTGGACTTTTGGACATTTAGCCAGTAGGCACATCACACCGGTGTGCTCACAGATTCTGACAGAACAGGAGGGGAGGAGGGCACGCACACGCATACATGCCCAGACACACACCGAGGCCTCTAGCACCCACTGCCTTATTGCTTACTGACATTTTCTCTATCTATCTATCTATCTAGTCTGTCTGTCTGTCTGTCTGTCTAAGATACCATAATTCTACCTTTTTAGACAAAACTTTACCCTCAGACTCAAATAATCTCTTTCTCTCTCTCTCTCTCTTTCTCTCTCTCTCTCTCTCTCTCTCTCTCTTTCTCTCTCTCCGTCTTTCTCTTTCTCCACAGAACCTCTGAGAGTCACATTATCCCCCAAGAACCTGAAAACAGGCATCAGCAGCACAGTGATTCTGTCCTGTGCCGTTCAGGGCTCGCCCCACTTCACCGTCTCCTGGTTCCGCAACACAGAACCCATCGTGCCTGACCAGCACTTCTCCATCCAGGGAGCCCACAATGAAACTCTCTTCATCACGGCAGCCCAAAAAAGACACTCAGGGGCATATCAGTGCTTTGCCACCCGCAAGGGTCAGACCGCACAGGACTTCTCCATCATACTACTTGAGGGTGAGTGGAAAAAGTGGATAATAGGATAACACTGAAGGTTGTGGTTCTGATTCTAACTCTACAGTGTACAATTCTTTTTTGACATAAAAGTTCCAAATTTAGATTACTATGACTTTTAAGCAAGTTACAATGTGCCCTACACAAGCGCGACAAGATTTTTTTTTTCCCAGTAACAGGTAATTTTGCTGTCCTTAATGAATGTGAAATACAGCACGAAGAAACAGCAGAACATATTTGGCATTTAATATACATAAACCAAAAGAAACCAAGCAACTGAAATGAACAATGATTAATGGTATTAATACTGAATGCAATTTGCAGCAACAAAGCAATTTTCAAAATTATTAAAAAATATATGACTTTTAAAAATGAGGGCTAATGGATTAAAATGATTGTGCTCAATCTAATGATTTAGTGACAATGATTTTCTGTTTTAGAAAACAGAATCAAACAGTAATAATTTCGATAAATATGCCACAAAAATATAATGTAAAAATGTTTTTCAGCTGAAATTATTCACGAACCCTCTTACAGGTGTCCCCAGTTTGTATACTTCTGAATTAAGTAAACTCGCATTTTACGATTTTACAGTTTAAATTTATTGCATGCAATTAAATTGAGACAAAATATTCAAGGTTTTATTTAATTAAATTTAAACACATTTACTGGTTAGGACACAGTGTCATTCATGCAATTCAGAGGCAATACAAAATTAGTGACATAAAACTGACCTCTTTTGAACTCCTCTTGAAAAATTGAGCTGTTCATATGAAATAAACATTTCAGCAGTGTACCTTTCAAAGATTCTGAAGTCTTCTATCTGTATTGCTCTCTCTTTTTCCTGTCAGACGGCACCCCACGGATCGTCTCGTCTTTCAGTGAGCGCGTAGTAGCCCCTGGCGAGCCCTTCTCTCTCATGTGCGCGGCCAAAGGCGCTCCACCCCCCACTATCACCTGGACGCTGGACGACGAGCCGGTAGCGCGGGACTCGGCGCACCGGGCCAGCCAGTACACGCTCTCCGACGGCTCCACTGTCTCGCACGTCAACGTCACAAACCCCCAGATCCGGGACGGGGGCGTGTACCGCTGCGCCGCACGCAACTCGGCCGGTAGCGCCGAGTACCAAGCGCGCATAAACGTAAGAGGTGCCTGTCTACTTTTCAATCTCAGACGTTTAGGGTTATAACCCGCCACCTCCCCGACCCTTGACCCCTGAACTCCTCCACCTCATCTCAGTCCAGATATCATTGCTTCTTATCAACTCAAGTATCATTGTGTGTGTGTGTGTGTGTGTGTGCGTGGGGTGGGGGGTGTATGTGAGTGGGTGGAGCGTCTTATGTTGTTTGTTCATCACAGTTCTGTCACCTGTGCGTTTTCTCATCTTGAACGTTGTTCTTTCCACTGTCAGATCATCTGTTTGTGTTATTGGTATCTTTCCACTTCTCATGTTTGTCTCTCCATCTGCTGAGTCTTTGTTCCTCTCTTTCACACATACACGGTGTCTCTGTCTCGATGTTGCCGGCTGGCTGGCACACGTGTGGTGTCCTGGCTGTTCTGGGACAGAGTGGACATCTGGCAACAGGGAGACGCCATCACGCCAAAGAGAAAAGAGACATGTCAGATAAGAAACCAGACTGAGAGGAGAGAAAATTAGTTGAAACAGTAGAGAAGGGTAGAAACGAGAGAAAAATACTTAAAAACTCAAAGAAGAAGAGAGGAGGATAAGAAAGGAGAGGAAAAACTCAAATTAGAGGAAAGGAAAGAAGTGGAGCAGAGACAAGAGAAGAGGACACATATGGAAAAAATGATTCCAATGAAATGGAAGTAACGATAGATCTTTTCTTCTGTATTATGATGTATTATAGTTTCATCCGTTTCCTCCGTAATTCCATATGGGTTATTGAAAACGTATGTAGACTTTATTTTATCCATCAGTTGTTGACTGGATTTTGATATTTGGCTGTTTTACTCAAAAATGAATGAAAACTCATTCAAGTCAATTTTGGTTGGGTCGTGTTTAAGTGGACTAAATGATTTTTTTCTGGTATCTGGTAGTCTGGTATACGTCACCAGAGAGAAGTTTGTCGTTTCACTGGAAAATCAAGTTTTGACTTAAGAAAAACAGTGGCAAATGTATATAGACTCTATGATGAGAATTTCTACCCTTTGATTAGTAATGAATACTGATTATTTCACAGACAAAGTGGAATTCAAAGTTTGGCTCGTGGTTACCTAGTTAACATGATAATAAGTGCCTCAAAAAATTATTTGAATATATTTTAGCTAATACTTTTTGGTATATTTTGAAGGGAGTAACAAGAGGCATTCGCTCTGACCTGAATATATTTTAAAGGGTTAGTTCACCCAAATTAGAAGTACAAAATGAGGATTTGTAAAGAAGAATGTCGGAGGATTTCGATATAAGCCAAGAGGAGACTGGTTTTCCTTTGCTAAAGTAAGGAAACTTTGCTTCCTTTGCTCCTGTAAGCAAATGTTAGTTTTCACGAGACTCACCGATGTGCAACGCCAACCTCATATGTCATCCTCCCGGAGCTGCTTCTGTGTACAACTGTTGGCGCAACCTAGATTAAAGTGATTATTACGTTTTGAATATGGATATTTTTCTTACAAAAACGCATCGATTCGCTACAGGAGGCCTTTGTTCACCCCTGGAGCCATGTGAGGCACTTTTTTATTATGGATGTATGCGCTTTATTTCACTTCTTTTGGACTGATGAACTGCAACACCCGCTGACTGCCATTAAACAGTTTGGAACATCAAAGACATTTTTTTATATTACTCCGACTGGATTCTTCTGAAAGAAGGAAGTCATATACGCCTAGGATGGCTTGAGGGTGAGTAAATAATGGACTTTTTTGGGTGAACTATCCCTTTAAATATTTGATGTCACTTACCTGACAAACGTTGACAATTCCAATAATAATTTCATCCACAGAAGCACTTGTTCTATCCACCCAGTATCTTGTTTCTAGTCAGACAGATAAATCCCAGTGCGCCAATACTCTCGGAAGTTGTGTTCAGTCAGCTATTTAGATTAAGTTTGCAAGATTGAGAACAGAGATTGAGTTTTTTGCATATTATGCATCAGATGGTAAGTGAACCGACTGTGGGCATTCCATGGGCGTGTCTTCTGAGCCTCAGACTAAGAGTGATATTGATTCATGTTGTCAGGCCTGTTGAATTCACCCACTCTTCCTCTCTGAAATGTTCAGTTATGACATATCTGTCTGCTTTAAGGAGACATGCCAGAACAATCATTGCAGTGAGAATGAGACCCTGTGCCACGGAGCCACAGTTGTGCGCACACACGTTGAATGATACCAACACTCACGGACACACTCATAGAGTCTTAAAACACTACTGCCTGACTAATACACTCTGACCGCAGTATGCTCATGAAAACTGACAGCATTGACTTTAACGCACACGCTATCCATATCACGCACACACATTTATTCTTGAGATGATAGTTTCACAACGTAATATTTACCAAACACAGACACCCGTGCGCAATCGGGCCCCATTCTTCCTGTGAACAGCACAATAGCAGTGCTCAGTTCCTGCCTGGAACATTATCTAAGTTCATACATTCATATATTATGTTTGAGAACAAAGGACAAATAGAGAAATAGAAAGACAGCCAGAGAATAACTGTGAAGAAGAGAGAAGAGGGATACTGTGCGACAGTCTTCTTGAATAATACATCAGGGTTGACTTGTCAGAGCGGTGACTTCAAAGTACAACACACGCTGAGCTGAGAGAAAGGGAAAGAGAGCAACAGAAGAAGAGAGAGATACGAGGATGAGGAGTGGGCTGTTAGAGAGGATGAGAATATTTGTGTGCATAAAATCTACATATGCCCCATCGACGATTTATTAACCGATCCGCCCTCCATTTTGAGGCAAACAAAATGTTCTTCTACAGTACGTCTTCTCGTTCTTCTGGTTCCTCAGATTTTTTTTACTCCTAAGCCACCTTGTCTCAATTCTTTCTGCTTCTTTTTTTTTTTTCTCTGCATCTTCAGGTATTGGCCATTCAAATCTTCATAGTGTCCCACCATCCATTTGTTCGTACACCCCTCCATCCTCGTGTGTGATTTGAGAGCAGAGTCCTGAAGAAGTCAGCCTTCTCTTTTTCCCAAAACAAAGAAAAGAAAACAAACACAAATCGGTCATTACTAACCTTTTCAAATTTGGCAATGACTGGTCTTGCTAGCAAGAACCAGAAGCTGTTAGCATATGCTAATTTCAAAGGGCATTCGCACTGACAGCGATTTGCAGCAAGAGCAAGTTGCAACCATAGTTGGTGATTTGAGGTTACTAGAGACCAAAATCTGTGACAAATCTGGGAAACTTTATGCAAATGCACAGCGACTACCAGAAAGTGGAGCTCATGCTATCTGCTTCATAATTCTGCAGTTAAGCAGGAATGCATCCTAGCAATCAAAACAAGCCTAAGGTTCAATTCAATCAGGGCCGCTGCTGGCCAAATGGGTGCCCTAAGCAGAATTGTATTGTTGTGCCCCGTTCCCCAAATATTATGGAAGTAAAAAAAAAAAAAAACACCTACAATAGGGGTCAAAATAGAACTTTAATAAAATATAAAAGTAAATTAATTAATTAATTGTAATTAAACAGTATTATTTATAAAGTGCAATTGTAGTTATATAGCAAAAAAATATATACAAACTAAAATTACACATATTAAATAAAACATTTTAAAAGATTAAATATTATCAAACATATACAATAATAAATTAAATCAAAAACCACTTCATCCTCTTTTGTAACAAATTTCAGTATTGAGCCTGCATTAAATGAAGCAGAAGATAATAGTCCCTGAAGAATTACTGAGTGCACTTCTAAATAAACAGTTACTAGTAAAAAAAATAAATAAAAAAAACAAGTAAATTAAGAGCAGTCAGTGTAATAAAACAGTTTTAACAAAACAAAAACAAAAAAACAATTACCTCCTATGGATGTGATTTTATTGATACAGTTGTCTGATTGATTTAATAGTCTCAAGCATTCGGAAATCACACAAAAGAAAATGAATACTACGATAAAACCATGTTAATTTTTGTAAGGATTGTGATGTCCATATGTTTTTGTTGAAGAAATTACAGAGGCTGTAGCAATTCTATCGCAGAAAGGTGCATGGCCAAAAATTAAAGATTAAGTGGATATTTTAATTAAAAGTTTGGTCAACATTAAACAAGGATTTGATCGTCCTGTAAGTGTAACAACAACAATTACCAGGCCTTTGGCACACTTTGCCTAGGCATTTGTAAATTGTTTGTTTATTTTGTATTACATTATGTATTTTAACAGTGTTATTCAATGAAACCATATGCTTATTATTAATTAACCAATCATTATTGCCTCATTGTTTTTATATAATGCATTTGAAGTCATTTTAAAAGCTGCTGTTTGCTTAGGTCTGTTTTTATTACCACAAAAAAAAAAATAGGCTTTAAATAAAAAATG